TGAAGGACAAACTCACCACGAACAACAGGTCACAGTACCGAACTACTTCTTCCCCCGACAACAAACTTCTCTTTAACCTTTATCACAACTTTACTCTCATGTATGGAAGAAAATAAAATCGTACTCACTGTAGCGTTCACCATGGCGTGGACGAAGTTTCTCCCTGACAGTTGACACTCGACTGACGACACAAGTTACACAACTGTTGTTCAGCTGTTGACACCTGGAGTGACACTGAGAAACACGCATATTAATTCCTCGGTGGCAACTCTACTTGACTCACTCACTCGGTAAGGTTCGAGACAGTTTAAAAGAGATAAACAGTAATTTATTAAACTGTGGTTGGATGCTAACTGTTTCTCTAACTGGAGAGGTATGGGGATGTATTAACTGGTTAGGTTAGGTTAACCACCCATCACCGCTCATGTTGTTGTTGTTCGCCATGGTATCAACTAACAAACGACAATTACGGGACTTAAAAGTATGGTGGATGTACTATTAATGCTTAACAAGAAAATGTCAGCTGTGGCACCTGTTTGCGAGCACTTAAATATTTTTTTGTATACCGGCAATGGATGTGAGCTTTTACTTTTATCCTCTTCACCACTGATCGCCTCGTTAGCCGCTTGGTCACGTCTATGTTACGCACTGTTGGCAAGTACTGGGCATGCACTGGCTCCTGAATGTGCCTGATCCTGCTCCAGTGTTGGTCAAGTCTGGTCTTGAAAGAGCTCACACTCGGTGCCGTCACAACACTCTCTGGCAGGTTGTTCAAAGAGTTTACAGTTCTCACTCCTAAAATGTTTGCCCTCACAGTTTTCTGGACTTGCTGCTTCTTCAACCTTGAGTTGTGACCCTTTGTGGGATGGCGTCTGCTAGCTCCAAGTATGGACACTCGACTGAGTAGTGCCCTCTGAGATGTTTATAATTTTTAATTAGGTCATCTCTTGTCCTTCTAGAATATAAGCAAGCGATTTGAAGTTAAACCCAAAGTCTTTTTACCGCTACGCAAAATCGAAATTAAAAACGCGAGTGGAATTATCGGATCTGAGGCTTGAAGATGGTAGTGACAGATTGCTGACCAGGACAAGGTGGAGGCGTTCACAAGAGAGGGCGTGAACAATCTCCCCACGTTTGACGAATGACAGTATCAAGAAATTAAGTCAGTAAGGTGGTTATAAAAACACGTCACAAGATATTCTTAACGTCTTGTGAGACCATCTTCTACGACCTAAACTATCACAGAGAACGGAGATTTATTAAGGGGTAACTGAGGCCTTCTACCCGTCTCTAACTTTATGTAAATTATATCCGGATACATACATACATAAATCCCAAGTGACAAGGGCGAAAAGGTTCAGTGGAAGAACAACAGGAGGATGAAAGTGATAAGTAGGTGTACCGTGGCTTAACACAGCATGCCTGAGTGTTAGTATCCAGGTAATATGTCATTGAATATGAAAATAAACAAAACCTGTTTTTCTGCTCTTCTGATAGAGATAATGAACATAGGTTATTTATGGTGTAGGTTATTAAAACAAACGTACATCTGGGCTATTTTATTGCCACAATACAAATCTCTCCATTTACCTAGAACATAATGGGCTCCATCCTCAGTGTCCGCTGCTGGACTGAAAATATTCTCCAGATCCAAAACAAAATAAATTTCCAGAAAATAAATGAAAGTTGTTTAAGACTTTTGATGGGGCAGAAAAATGATAAATAACATTTCAAATAAATATTTTTTATAAAATTCTCACAAATATCATTTCATTAAGCAATTAATTATTAGGTATGAAGTGGTTAATAAATAATAATTATATTTTGGAATCTGTATAAAAGTTTTGATCGAATAATACAACTGTTGAGAAAAACCATAAATAATAACAATAATCATAATAATAATAATAATAATAATAATAATAATAATAATAATAATTAAGTGACTCACAATACAGAGACCAAGAATGCAGCCCAAGTTAGCCACGGACTCTAAACTCAACACTCGAACGTTCCGTGATAAAGAGTATTCACATTTTGCCAAGATTTTGTGTTTAATATATATGTTAATACTACGGTAATATCAATGTAAAAAGGAAAAAAAATACAATAAATAATAATTTTTATCCCTGGCTTGAGGAGACGAAAATATTAACACAAATTATTCTTTATTCGAGGCTGACAGAGTCAATAATTTCATTTTCTGGAAGAGCTCAGTTATAGGATGATAATAATTCAGGTCCCACCAGCTATAATTATTACACACATCTGTAACTACATTATTCCATAGCTACGTCTTACTATTAATAATTATTCAGTACATCAATAAGTTAAAGATTTCACGGGTTTAAGAGAGAGAGAGAGAGAGAGAGAGAGAGAGAGAGAGAGAGAGAGAGAAGCCGGTGGAGAACTTTTAATATATAAGTAGCAACATGTACTAATTTCAGTCAGCGGCTTAGAACATTAGTTAATTAAAGACGGTATATGTATGTACCAAGAAGAGGAGGTAAGGGGAGGGGGCGGTTCAAACACACGTAAGTTTACATAATTTAGTTGTTTACTTTCATATATTCAGATTTTTTAGACAATTCATTTTTGTTTACTGAAATACGTACGTTAGCACATTGTACCATAACTGTTATACTGAAATATTTCCAAATCTGATAACAGTAGAGATCCTTAGAAGGTAGCAGTCGGCAGGAGTAACTGGGACGTAACATTGATTGGCTTAATGACGGTACAATGGCTAACGCGTCTCACTCATGCTTCATATATGTCAACACATGACTTTATTAACACATCATACATATGGCATCTCCATCAGGTTTATTCATAATGAGAGTTTTTAACAAAGATTTAACACATTAAAACATTATCCGTTCCTCTACAAAACAGTTTAAAAGAAAGAACTTTAGGCCTGAATTTGGAAAAGACATTGAAAATATCTGTCTAATTCCAATCCACTAATATTAATTATATTACAACCTATTGCAAATTGCAGAAATTCCAATTATTGGCAAAACTGTATTGAAGAAATAGAAAGAAAATTGATAACTTTGACTGAACACCACGAGGCGTGATGCAATAGTTGTATGTTGTATATTTAAAATAATTATATATTGGAAAGAAAGTTCATTCATAAAGAAAAAATCCACGAATGTAATAGACTTAGTTTTGATAAAATAAACTTAATTACATCTCAGGTGAGCGCCACGTCTTCTTCAGCACAGGTAAGGTACAGTAATTAACTAACGTTCAAGCCTTAGAACAGCTTCACCTAAACTACATGGACTTAATTAAGAGTTTCTACATCCTTGCTTTAGTGCATATATAATACAGCTATGTACAGAAAAGTGTATTTTTTTTTTTGCAGAAGTGAACATCAGTTTCCTTGACAACTAGATGTGAAAAAAATAGAAAAATGGTGAGACATTAAAAAAAAAAAGGTGAAATAATAAGATGTTCACTACAGCAGCTATATATATGTATTTATATGTATATATATGAGGTGATTTTGGCAAACATACAGCATTATACTTGTTGTTATATTCAGAGAAGTTTGGCAACAGTTATCTAATTATATGCCAGAAGCACAGCACAAACTAGGTGGTCCAAACAGCCGGAGTCTGATGTATCGTCCAGTTAATTAATCACCTGCACAACTAATCACCGCTACTCTACAGTTGAAAATTAATTTGGGCGATTCGCTTGCCTTAAATATTTGGAATCATATAGAAGTTACTGTTGACGTGTACCATTGTTTTGTTAATTTAGGTGTAAAGTCACTATTTTTCTTATAGTATATGGCATCAGAGTTACAGTGAGACTCTACCTTAACTAGACACTTTCACTAACTTAACATCAGGCATAATTAAAAGAATCTTTGGAAAATATTCTCTGGATTAATTTTATTTCCTAAAGAGTGATCAGTGAAGGCATCTAGTCAAGGTATAGTCTCTGTATGACTAAGACGCCATTGTATTAGTTATTATTGTATTTTAATAAAGTAAAGTCAACCAATTTAATGTAATCTCACAACTTCATTGAGGATCAAAATTATTCACCGAGTCTTTGAGTATCTGGGGCCAAGAGCTGGAGCCGTGTTATCCCGAACAGTGAGAGAACTGTACACTACCTTACCACAATTATCTGGTAAACTAGAAAGGAATAACCTGACCTTTTTCGCTAATAATTTCCTTAACCTAAATGCCAATCTGACCTCTTCATCAATAAATACTAATAATATGCGATAGTTAGAGTTTTTAAATAATAAATTCGTTGATGTAAACGATATTTTGAATTTTTCAGTGTTATTTAAATTGACATAAGTGAAGATTAACAGCTCAATAATTGTACACCGTATGTAGCTTCCATATGAACACAGGCGGAGCAAAGTTTGTGCTGTACTGCAAACTGTATGAACCTGATCCTTGGTGATTAATGAGTAAATGATAAATATTTTTTTTTCCACAATGGCCTCACATGACTTACATAATACCTGTACTGGAAAAAAAATATTGCCAGGGGTCATATCAGGAGTTCAATTTTGGTCTAATAATATTTTATGGTGTATGTGTGTGTGTGTGTGTGTGTGTGTGTGTGTGTGTCTGTGTGTGTGTGTGTAAGGAAGATGTTTACAATGTATGTGTGTGTGTGTGTGTGTGTGTGTGTGTGTGTGTGTGTGTGTGTGTAAGGAAGATGTTTACAATGTGTGTGTGTGTGTGTGTGTGTGTGTGTGTAGGAAGATGTTTACAATGTATATGTGTGTGTGTGTGTGTGTAAGGAAGATGTTTACAATGTATGTGTGTGTGTGTGTGTGTGGAAGATGTTTACAATGTATGTGTGTGTGTGTGTGTGTGAAGATGTTTGTGTGTGTGTGTGTGTGTAAGGAAGATGTTTACAATGTGTGTGTGTGTGTGTGTGTGTGTGTGCGTGTGTGTGTGTGTGTGTGTAAGGAAGATGTTTACAATGTGTGTGTGTGTGTGTGTGTGTGTGTGTGTGTGTAAGGAAGATGTTTACAATGTGTGTGTGTGTGTGTGTACTGGTAAATAAAATCCAGGTGTAGGTAAGATAACACATTTCTTTCCCCCAGACACACCTGAAATTCCCGACCTAACTAAATACAGAGATTCATAGATGGCAAAATACTAATTTATTTTAACCAATTAGACACACACACACACACACACACACACACACACACACACACACACACACAGACAGACAGACACAGGCACACACAGACAGACAGACAGACAGACACCAACCAAAACACTAGCATATCAACAATGAACCGCTCTGACCTGACCCCTTTAATAAACTCTATACATCCTGGGATAAAATAAGGACATGATGTGACTCCACCAGAACACATGAGCGTCGGTAACTTAACCTCTGTCAACTCTTCTCTTCCCAGTTCATCTTCCAATAGACTAACTAAACATTTATCGGTATTATTTCTTGAGCCATCTCGAGCTCAGTACTGTATAGGCCCCATAATACCATACAATATAAAACCAATTAGACTAAGAAATAATAATAATCTCTACAGTTACAAATGATATTGTTTCTTAATGTACAATAGCTTATTTGCATTTTTTTCCCAGGATTGAATATTCTAGTTTACGATGAGATGTAATTTTTTTTTTTATAACAGAAGGAATTTATCGTTTTCGTTATTTATTTTTTTAAGTTGTTTTTTAGTGTAGGAAATACGTCAGTGAACGGTGCTTGTAGTAACCAGGCTGTCGGAACACAAAGACTTAACGATCGGTAGTTTAAATACTTCAGCCGCCAAGTTCAGCTAGATCAGAGGAAGCAACCGAACGCTAACACAACACTCATGGCATTAAAATATTTCCAAAACAACTTATCATTACAGAGAAGACAATTTTAACCATTTCTCTATTACTTTACACTCAAAGATAAACTAAAAAAAAAAACTAGAATATTCACGACCCAGTGATGATTATAACACATTTATGAATGGCATGAAGACAAAGCTGAAAGGAAACGTTTTTTTTCCCTCGCTATATACAAACACAGCTTAAAAGAACGTCACTATGCACAGACACCATAAATATGAGGTAAGTGTAAGAATCCCAATTATTACCTAATCCTTATTCTTGTTTTTTTTTCTTTATTTAAATGTCATTCATTATTACAGATATACTTCACGTGAGAAATATTTTGAAGGGGGATTGATTCTCTCCCAAGGTTGGACCGGAAACATTTTGATTTAGTAATGTTAATATGGCTTGTTTTAAAAAATGCTTTGATCAATTAATTTGTAACAAGGGGAATAAAATAGTTTTGATGGGTTATAATGGGGGAAATACTTTGATCGGTTATTCATACAGCTCATGGAAAGTATAGTACTTTGATCCGTACATCACGTTACATATAAAATATTTTGATTTTTTTTTTATGTGACACGACAAGAGAAAGAGATGCTACGGTTTCATCAGAGATACCACACACACACACTCACACACACACACACACGCACGCACACACACGCACGCACACACAGACACACAATTCTTTACGTTTATTTAATATTAAAAAAAAGTGAGATTCAACATTATCCTCAAAGGAATATTTGGCTAATTCTTTTTACCATTCATGTTTTAGTTGGTCATGAGTGTTTAAATAAAAACTACCCTTTAAACCCTCAGTAAACATATCAGTAACATTTATACACGATGTTTATGACAACTCTTACTTTGTGTTTACAGTGTCTCCCTTAATGATGATGAACATTTTAAACATTTGTGAATATTTATTGTTCTTTTCTATACATAACTGTTCATCATCTTTACTGTGTCATCAAAAAGAACAAAAGAACATGGACGATGGTCGTATTGTGTTCTTTACAATTATTTTGATCTCCAAGCCTACTATGTCACAGTGAACAGGATGAACACATGTACAGAATCTGATGGAATATGAAGCCTCTGTAAGCACTTCGTAAAACACCGTGTACACATGACTGTCGTGTGGTATAGTATCTCCGAGCGACATGCAAAGTATATCTGAGACATTATATAATACCTTAAAACTTTGTAAAGTATTGTATATATAATAATAAAAGTTTTACCTCAAAAAAGTCTTTGCAAAATAGAGAACATTGTATTAAAAAAAAGAGTTTGATAAGTACCGTTATCTATGTCATTAATTCCTTCAGGTTAACACGTACTTGAATATCAAATACAAACCTCATCAACTAATGGAGGAAAATCAATAATCACAAATGAGATTGATGAACGCAGTTATGAACACAATATAAACGCAAGGCCAAAGAAAGACAAACTCCTGACAAACTGTATGACGATGACACACTTATACTGTGAGTCAGGTAAACAGTTAGGTAAACAGTCAGGTAAACAGTTAGGTAAACAGTCAGGTAAACAAGTTAGGTAAACAAGTCATCGTGATATTTAACGAACCCAAAAGAAAAGGTTTATTTATTATAGTCATGTATACCACTACAGGCTGAACTACCGCTAAAATATATAGGATTAGTTATTTCTCTAAACTTTCCAGACTTATGGAAACCTAAGCTATTTATTTATATTTATTTTAATGTTGTTACCACGACTTTGAAGTGATAAACTAACATTGCTGTGAAGTCCAGACACCAACATACTGTATTAGGCTGGTTCACAACACAGCTACCCACCCCAAATAAAATTATAGTTCGACTTTCTTTTAATGTTTATATATATTTAACCAAACAAGAATACGTCTTTATGGCTCATCACGTAATATTTTCTTTTCCAATTTTTCTGTTTTTTTGTGTGTGTGTGTTTTTTTCCATATATTATCAGACGAACACTTTTAGGGGTTTTCTATGATTGATTTTAGATTTTTTTTTAATTCTATATTTGTATTTTTCAGGCCAGTAGTGCCACCAGCCACACACACACATATACACACAACAGTCGACGATTTTCTCCTGCGTGTGGGGGAATTTCTTCTGTGTGGGGAGGGGAGGGGGGGACGGGAACTTCTCCTTCGTGTGGGGAAACTTCTCCTTGGTGTGGGGTAACTTCTTCTCCTGACTACCGAAGATTTTGAGCCAAGTTTTAGTACGTCTCCTTCCTCTTGGTGTCTTCAGAGAGGCCAACGAGCATAAAGAACGCGACATCACCCTCTCAACGTACACACAGCCACACACTACTTGCAGGTGTGAACATCAACATTGGTGACACAGGTCTTGCACTTGACATGGCAACACCAGACGAACTTGCAGTGGCAACGCTCCACATACTTCACCACCTGTGTAAATAATAAATAAAAAATAAACAAAAATATATACAATTTATACGGTAGTGACGATATAAGGAAGAATAAGTTAATAAAATACGTCGTACGAACATCAGGCACCAAGTACTCATCACCTCCAGGCTGCACATGAGAGAGAGAAACCCCAGAAAACTACTAGTCGTCCCGTTCCAAACTATCCTACAACACTGAAACAGAGCTACAACTGACACTACTAGAAGTTACATCTAATAGGAAGGGTGAGTGAAACTTTGTCTATTATACACAAAAGAAGAATTATTGGTGACTTTCCCAGTGTTCAGACAAGTTGTAGCCCTGTGTTATAGCACCTCACCTGGGTATTGTAGCCCCCCCTCACCTGGGTATTGTAGCCCCCCTCACCTGGGTATTGTAGCCTCTCACCTGGGTATTGTAGCCTCTCACCTGGGTATTGTAGCCTCTCACCTGGGTATTGTAGCCTCTCACCTGGGTATTGTAGCCCCTGCCACAGCACAGGAGATCGCAGGAGTCAGCTCCTAGCGATGTCTTGTTGCAGAAGCGGCCTTGGGTTCCCAGTATGCCTTTGTTGAGGTTCTGGATGCAGTAGTTTGGGGACTTGTGGATGTGGACAAGCTCATCCTTTCCCGCAAGGAATCGACGCTTGCGGCGGCCACGACGCCTTCGCCGCCTGCGGGAGGAATCACGCCGACGGGAACTGCTTCTCTTCTTGCGCTTGTACTGTGGAAAATTGGGTTAGGTTAGGTTAGGTTGGGTGTTTGAGACACTCGACAAAGCATTACAACCTTATGAATAAACCAAGTGTTTGGGATATACTGTATTACTGGTCATGTTTGAGCATTGTTTACATCCTGGCCACCGGTGAGAGCATTGTTTACATCCTGGCCACCGGTGAGAGCATTGTTTACATCCTGGCCACCGGTGAGAGCATTGTTTACATCCTGGTCACCGGTGAGAGCATTGTTTATATCCTGGCCACCGGTTAGAGCATTGTTTACATCCTAGCCACCGGTGAGAGCATTGTTTACATCCTAGCCACCGGTGAGAGCATTGTTTACATCCTAGCCACCGGTGAGAGCATTGTTTACATCCTAGCCACCGGTGAGAGCATTGTTTACATCCTGGCCACCGGTGAGAGCATTGTTTACATCCTGGCCACCGGTGAGAGCATTGTTTACATCCTGGCCACCGGTGAGAGCATTGTTTACATCCTGGCCACCGGTGAGAGCATTGTTTACATCCTAGCCACCGGTTGCATTTCAGTGTTTACATTCTGTTTACCACGAAAGGAGTCTCTGTACTAGGGGCAGTTGAGTGTGTATTTGACCTATTTATTAACAACAGTTGTATAGTAAGTTTGTAATGCTCTCTGACATCAGCTCTGTACTAAGGAGGCAATGATTACAAGTGACGTAGCTTGAGAGTACTTCTATATCTAGGACTCAGTGATTACAAGTGACATACCCTGAGAGCAGTTCTGTACTTGTTCTTGAGATAGTCTCCTACGACAGGGAAGGTCGGGATGGATCGCCAGCAGGTCTTGAGTTCACAGGAGCCCGACACTCCATGACAACGACACTGCATCTTCATTAGCCTCGCTACAGCCTGGACAGACACACACACACACACACACCATCAAAAAATAAAAACAAACTCGAAATGTAAATAGTCTTACCTCCAACAATATAAACACAGTAATGACGACAAAGATTAAATATTAATATACACAGAATGATAGATATATTAACACTGGATGATAGATATATTAACACTATTACTTTTACAGGATTCGAACCCACATACCTCAGAATACAAGACCAGAGTGCTGTCAAATTAAACTTGATGGTCCAAAAAATCAGACTTGAACTTTGTCAACGGAACGTTGTGGGGGTTCGAATTCTACTGCAATATCCACCTTGCCATTCATCCACCTTGCCACTCATCCACCTTGCCACTCATCCACTCACCCTACTATCCCCTGACCACCCTCTCACCCACCTCTCGTCCGGCCTCGTTGTTATGGAGGTTCATCAGGTTTCGTCTTCTCTTGAATTTCTTGTGTCTCTCCTTCTCGGGGGCGTCCACGAACTGCCGAGCGAACTGCACCCCGAACCTCAAGTTATCACTGTAAGGTTGATGTAATGAGGTTGTTATTGCACTTCAGACAATTAAGGACTTTAAATGTATATTCTAGATAAGTAAATATATTAGCCAACAGCAATAACAAATGAAGTGAGATAAACTAGAGATGTAATGTGGGACAGAAATATATGTAGAGTGGATCAAAGTGCGCCCAGGTGTTGTGGACGTGGTGAGAGAATAGGCAGAAGAAAGGTCGCTTAAACTTGGTGTATAATTGATGGGTGGTGAGACGGGCTTCCATGGTGTATCAGTGTGCGTGAATGAGTGGAACGCTAATGGGTAATGTTTGGCTTGTGTGAAGTAATAGGGATAAACCATATAGATATTTAAGGGTTTATAAATGAGCAGTATCATAGAAAATCACATCTTTTTATAGCAGTAAGATTAATGTATGATAATGATTGAAGGGAGAGATAGTAGGACTGTTGTTGTATTGTATTAACACTCTTCCAGTCAACTGCTACAGTCTTCACGCACCTACAACCCCCCCACTTCCATCCCTCAGGTGTAGACAGTCCTTGCTTGCTCATGTCACAGGAACAGTCAGTGAGGTTGCCAGAGGAACAAGCCTGAGTCACCGCGTGCACTACCCCTGCTGACGTCACGGCGTAGATGAAGGCCGTCTCTTTGCTCCCTGAAAGATAAGTAATAATAATAATAATAATAATAATAATAATAATAATAATAATAATAATAATAATAAAAATAATAATAATAAAATCTAGTAAATAATATTGGTATTGTGGGGTTTTGGGTTCCTCGCGAATTTTGTGTTCTGGGGTCACATACCTGTAATAGGGAAATTTTACGTCCTGCGGTCATTTATAGCGAAATTTTGGGTCTTGGGCTCATTCATCGCCAAATTTAAGGACAGAGTCTCACATAATCGCAAATTTTAGGTCCTGGGTTCATTTAATCGCGAAATTATGAGGTTCTAGGACAATATTATTAGAAAATTGTAAGGATTCAAAACATATCCTCGCCAAATTTAACATTCATAAAAAAATTAACCCGCCGGGCGTCCTGATAATGCGAAATTTCTAGGTCCATTTATCGCATCCTGGTGAATATATTGGGTTCCTCGCGCGGGTGGCTGCGAATAAGACAGTGATCAGGAGGCTGACCGATGGCCACATGCGCGTGTAGCTTGGTGCTCACTGATGCGAGAGTCCCCCCTCGCACGTCACTCACACCGCCTCCGTGCTTTGTGGTGCCGTCAACTCATCACCCAACCCCTCTCCCCCTCCCTCCTTCCCTCCCTCCTCCATCCGTGACCAACGCTCTCTGTGTGTGTGTGTGTGTGTGTGTGTGTGTGTGTGTGTGTGTGTGAATAAATAAGAATACAGACGATGTTTTACTTAATATACCGTAAAAACTTTGCTAACTCCTTCATAATATATTTGATCTTGTAACTATCAAAATTATATCGGTTCAATGTGTGTGTGTGTGTGTGTGTGTGTGTGTGTGTGTGTGTGTGTGTGTGTGTGAGAGAGAGAGAGAGAGAGAGAGAGAGAGAGAGAGAGGCCGCCACTGTAGATGATGGCTGGTGTCCCCTACAGTCGCGTCTGATCCCATTGATTCCCTCTTAACGGTTCCAGGAATGCCTTCCCTTGAACCCAGGCAGGATTGAATACCATCCATGCAACCTTCCTTCCTTCCTTCCTTCCTTCCTTCGTTCTTAGGTCTGTCCCGGTAAACAATCAACATCCTCCATTAAACGAAGTAAGCAACAGGAAACAGAGAAAATGACGACTGTAAACAAGACTCCGGGAGCCGCAATATACAGAATCCGATCGCTTGTTGAGTTATACTCTTAATAGGATTAACAACAGTGGTTTTAGAGAGGATCTGACCCTAATTACCGAACGTGGAGTGAAGGGGGGGTTCTCCTCTCTATGTTCTCTACCGCAATTATACGGTCGCTGAACCCCTTTGTAGGGTATCAGGTACCGCGTCATTATACGCCATTTCCTCCCGCTTATTCTAACAGTGAGAGCCGATGAGAGGTCTAGATTTTTATTGGTATTTTTTTGGCTGGGGGTCAATAACATTAATAAGCTTTAGTCATGTAAACTAATCTCCTCGCCGCCACCAGCTGAGGTATTTATAGAATTTGTGGAATTTATGGACTATAGAATTTATAAACTATTGAATTTATAAACTATACATGCGTAAACCACGTCAAATAGAGATATGGATTCACCATTTATGATTATATTTACTCGTCAAACTATCGATTCGTGAACCACATTACAGTACATTAAGAGTTCTAAAGTCTTTAAGTTAACTAAATCGTGAAAAATATAGATTCGTGAACCAGGTTAAATTAATGATCAGGATTCATGCTTCACATACGATTAAATTTTACTCGTGAAAGAATAGAGTCGCTGAACCTTTTAACCCGGATTTGAATACCTTACGGCGATAGAAAACCAATAATCATTTATTCTGTGTCTCTAAACCTTTATATCATCTCCACTAATCCTGTATATTATCAGGTTTGGTGTATAAGGATGTGTGTGTGAGGGAGACAGAGAGATGAGGGATAGAGGAAGGGAAGGAGTAATGGTAAGGAACTGAAGGGAGTTTTTGGGAGGAGTGCTGGATAGGAGGGCATTGAGGGGAGAAGTGGAGGGGCGTGCAGGTGGAGTGGTGAGTAGGAGGGCATGGAGGGAAGAAGTGGAGGGGCGTGCAGGTGGAGTGGTGAGTAGGAGGGCATGGAGGGAAGAAGTGGAGGGGCGTGCAGGTGGAGGGCTTACTGTGTTGATATATAGATGTGTTTTTATCCTCTCCTATTCTGAGGGGGGAGGGGAGAGAAGGGGAGGAGGAGGAGGAGGAGGAGAGAGAAAATAATTATTTAAGAAACATAGGTGAAGAACCATTAGACGAAAGAGAAACAAACAAGAAGAAAAATAAGAAAAAAAAAGAACCTCGACAAATTAAAAAATAAATAAATAAAAATTCCCAGACCCTTTAAAAAAAAATCATTACATACGAAATTCCACATTCAAAAAAAATCCCTCAATCTGGAGAAGAAAAAAAAATCCATCCGTCAAATCAGTAGAATCAAAACACGAGCAAAAATACGAATGGAAATAAAAGTCATGTATATTTTTGTTCATGTCGTAATTAAT